TCAGTTGATTGATATTTCGATGAACTATGTTCAACATTTGTTTTACCTGAAATTTCAAATTTTACACAATAGAACTTGAGTCTGTACTTTTATTAAATATTCGAATATTCGAAACAAATTCGAATTGAAACTCATCGACATTCGATAGACACTTTCACAATCACAATATGATTTTCAAGCTTTTATTTTATATGAAAAACTATATTATTTAGTTTATTCCAAGAACAGCAACAATAGAAAAAAAAACAAGTGATTCAGAATTCATTTGGCGTATTGAATATGTAAAATTGAGTCAATTGACATTCATTTTTAAAATAATACTGAACAGAAGTCTAAGTATATGATACATATTTCTTTTTTTTTGTTTTCAAGATAAGAAAACAGTGGAAAAAAATTTGTATACTAATGTTTCGTCAAAATTACTTACACAGGTTTTGCACATTGCAATTAGACAAGTACGCTTCTTATTTTTTCAGTCCAATTAATAATCCGACTTATTTCTCATGCTAGATTTTTCAAATATATAAAATATTCAACTCATGATCACTATAATAAGATTGAATCAATTAATTATAAGAGTGTATTTCATGCATATAGATAATCTCTATTATTTATGATCAAAAACAATATCAAATAATATAATTTTATTACATTGTTTTTTTTTCTTACCTAAACCTCTATGACCAACATTCACTGGTCTTCGACCTTCACGCCAATATTTTGATGGTGTAACGAGAAATTTTTGTTGAATACCTTTTAATGGTGTAATTAATAAAATATCTATTTTAATTTGTCCTATTCTAGAAACACAAAAAAAATATTCATTTAAAGTTTTAATAATGAAAGACAATACGAACGGATTATGTTTGAGTCCAATAATCGGTACAGTTCGACTAAGATGTTTATTATCAGTTAATTCATAATTAGAATGTATGGGTAAAACATATGCAAATCCTATATGATGTGTTAATGATATTGGTTCATCAACAAGATAAAAATCAATATGATAAACAACATTTTCAGGTTCAAATGTTTGAATTTTAACAATAATATAATCATCTTTTTCAAGTATTGCACCATAATCATTTTGAATATTTGTTTCACAACCTGATAAATGTAATATAGCTGATTGAATAAATACTTTTGATGTTGGTGTATATATTTGATTTAATGAATCTAATGTTATTTCTTCATTTTCTTGTTGATATGTTAAATCAATTGGAGAAACTTTTAATGATAATGTTTTATTACGTAATTTTGTTGACCATATTTGTAAAGAATTTGAATGAAAACGTAATTGTATTTCTGATTGACCTGTTAACCATCCAATATCAGTACGACATATATTTTTATAATAACCAAATATGGCTGGATATTCTTCTAATTGTTCATTATTAGTAAGATTATTCGTATCAATTGAATTGAATAATAATTGTCGTGCTTCTTTAAATGTTTCCCCTATGTAAAGAAAAAAAGAAAAGAAATATTTTTGTAAGAGAAAATAAAGTTAAAACATACATTTTTTAATAATTAAATTCATATCATCATCAATTCGAATAATTTGTGCAATAAGATATCGATAGAAAACTTTTTCATATCCATTAATTTTAATATTTGTTGACCATATTTCACCATCTTCTGTTTGATTAATACGATTTAATGGTATACAACGATTTGGTATCCATTCACCTAATTGTTCACATGAACCAGTTACAAGAACACTATCACATAGACTTAATTTTTCTTTTACCAAAACACGAAATTCAACATCGTAAATAACTCGACGAATCATTGTTATTGTTTTTCAAGTGACAATTGAATATTTTGTTAATAAAAATAAATGTTAAAAAAAATATACACATTTCTTGTAAGTTTTCAAATATAATAAATAAGTATCAATAAAAAAAAAAAAGAAAATACATATATATGAATATATTTATTGTTATATGAACATATTTCATAGAATGATCAACTCATAATTCATTCTAACCTTGAAAAGAAAGAATAGAACGAACAATAATGACTCATAAAATGCTTTTCTTTCTATATATTAGGTCTAATATAGTCTAGATGTCATACATAATCAGTAAGAAATATTGATGAAAAAGTTGTGTTACAAATACGAATAATTTTCGATAATGAAATTTGCTTCATTTAAATGAGTCATTAATAATATTCACTTTTACATATGTAAAATCAAATTGATCATGCTGAAAAATGACTTCTCATATACATTTAACATAATAGATATCAAAAGATAATCTTTTTATTTACTTACTCAAAATCAGGGTAACAAAGTTTGAAATAAATATTTTATTACAATTTTAAGTATATCGATAATCAATGAAATCGAAATACTTGAAAAAAAAAGATCCTTAAGTTATGACTACTTGAGAAAAAGAGAATTATGTATATTCAGTGAATTGAAAATTATTATTAGTTTTTTTGTCTAAAACAATTTAATCCGATTAGCTACTGTTTCTTTTTCTAAAATCAATTATTTGATTAATACTAGAAAATAAAATGAAACCTCATCAATATTTCATCTAAAGAATTCGATTCCTTTTAACCTATGCTACATAATTGTTGAAAATATGATTAGTTAATTGAAATACACAATTTTACAAAGAAAAATTAAAATTATAAGTAGTAACATCTGAAATATAATCTTGTTTTCTAGAAATTTTTATAAGATTCGATAGATTTTGACAAGCTCGATGAGAAAATGATCTTGTTTCTAATAGGAAACATGAATAACAATTTTATGTATAAAGCATTAGAGAGAATAAGCTGAACTATTAATAATCTTAGTCGATCTACTGTTTCGTCTGTTCATGTCATTGAAAAGAGTAATTTTCAGCATGAGTGTGTTACACTACATCTCGAAACATCATTTATTAGTTCATTAACCTATGTTATTGAAAATTAAGCATATTTTCGCATACAACATATGTGAGATTTTTATTAGTCTGTTTGGTTTCTTTGTTTTATTTAATAATAAAACAGGAAAAATACAATTTATATATAAAGATTTATAATGCAAAAATAGACTGTATTCAATTTAATTACATATCTATCTGAAAAATAGATAGAATTTAATGTAAATCTCTTTCATTTCCTGGACAAGTATTTTGTAATTCATCTAATGTTTCAAATGTTTGTCCACACCAAATACAATATAAATGTTGATCTCTTAAATAATTAGTTAATTTTTTTAATTGATTTTCCATATTAAATTGATCATCATCATTACCTTGTTGTTCTTCTTCATCTTCATCATCATCATCATCATCATCTTCTTCTTTATCTTGTTTCTTTTTTTTCCATAAAATATTTTCTTCAAGATTTAATTTTTCTCTATCAAATCGTTCACATATAGATTGACATTTCGCAATATCAATATGAAGACGTTTTAAATAATATTTTTGTTTTAAATGATCTTGATATGTTGATTGAATTTGTTGATTAAATTTATTTTTAATTTCTTCTTTTAAACGAATTTTTTCTTTCTTTTCATTTTCTTCACCTAGACCCGATCGAGTTGGATGAATTTTAATTGGAATTGGTTCAATTAAACCATTTAATTGATTTGTACCTAATTTTGAACCTTCTTTATAACCCATTTTTTTTAATAATTGAAAACCTTTATTATCACTTGTTATGGCTGTTGATAAACCTTGTTCACGTTGTTCTTTTTCAATTACATGACGAGATTTTTCGTTAGGAATTGAGGGAGCAGGAGGTGGTATACGACGACGAGGATTTAACAATTGTGGAGCAGATGCTTGAGCAGCAGCAGCTAAGATTTTATCGGACATATAATCATCATCGTCATCATCATTTTCATAAGATCTTTTAGACATTTTATTTCAAAAATAAAAATTACATTTAACCATCCAAAAAGTGGATGACAATCGTGATTGAATACTACTTCAGCCAGTATGAATGTAAAACAAGATTACTCTAGATGGCGTTAGAACTTTGTATTTGACAATTGCACTAACAATGTATTACTTAGATAATGAAATTTGAAATAAACAGGACCAGATGCAATTTAATGATGAAAAAGATTGTTAATTAGTGTCAATTTTTTTTAATATGCGAATTACCATGTTTTATTAACTTTTGATCGTTTGTAACTATCGAAGTCGGATTTTTGGTAGATGAACATTTTTTTCAATGTTCATGTCTAAAACTCTGCGTATCATCCGAGGCTCAAATTTTACTAACATGCTTTTCGAAGTGTTCTATTGCCTGCTTAACTGTTCGTTTCTTTCATTAGAGACAGAAATAGCTAGTGATTTAGACGTAGAATTCATCAGCAATACTAGACTAAGTGTGTCGGATGTATTGCTTTTTACAAGGATAGAACTGTTTGTGAGAAGAAGAAAAAATAAGTTCCAACTCTGAAAATAGAAAAAAAAATGGATGGTTGTCTAACAGAATTCAAATGTATTTATCGGTTCCTAGAAGTATATCTGTGTTATTTTAATATGATGAGGATGAGGATGAATTAGAGAAGTAGTATTATTACTAGCGGTTTTGATATTGGTGCCAATAACGCTACGTCATCAGTCTAGTTTTATCTATTTCACATAGAACATAGTATGATTGTCAGTAAGAGACTGTAGGAAAATTTTTACACTTCAAGTACACATTTTGTATTTTGTTTGGGTTTTCGGACTTCTGTTAATACTAATAAGTTGTTTAATTAAATTAAAGTATGCCCTTCACTAGAAGTGTTATCATCTTTGTATTGATACTTATAGTAAAACATATTCGTAACAAGTTGACTGATCAACATTAGTATTTATTTTATTTCCTAGTTTATGATCTAGTTCTATTCAAACACCTAGTGAATATTTCGATCTCCTTTTAAAGAAATAGTTATAATGTCAAAAGTTAAGTCAAATATAACCCATTGAAAAAAAATCAAAGACAAAATCATTTCTTATTATACATTGAAGAGAAGAAGAAAAATATTAAAACTACTAGCTTATTTAATGATCAACGGAATTCATTTGAGGAATTGATGATGGTGTAGATGACATGAAAAACTCAAGTTGTACTGTTGATGATTCGGTAGAACATTGAAGATGATTGATATGATCTATAAAAGGAAATGTTGATAGAAGTTCACCATTGAGTAAAACACGTTGAACATAGATATTTTCTGCTGAATTATTATGAACAATAATTGTAAGTATACATTGACCATTATTACGACGAATTGTAATACGATCAAATGCAGGACTACCAATCAAATATGTAGATGAACCAGCTAGTGGATAAAAACCCATACTAGTAAATATATACTATGCTGACATTGTACCATAATCATCATTGCCTGGTATACCATCAGGTTTTATTGTGTAAACATGATCAAGTAGCCAACGTGAATGTAGTTGAGTAAGATCAGATCGATTTGCATAATGGAATTGCCAAACAGAAAATAGATTATGTTCATTTCCTGCCCAATAATATGGATTTGGTATTGTTGTTGTCGGCCAATCTCGACTACGAGTAAAGAATGTATTAAGTTCTTGAGCAAAAAAATTTGCACCACCAAATAAATCGACAAGACGTGGTGTATTATGTGGTACAAAGAATCGATAATGCCATGCATCACCTTCTGTATAACGATAATCGAATGGAATCAAATATTCGATTTCACTTGATGGACAAAGGATGTAACCAGTACTATTTCGTGGACAGAAAAATTTTTTTGTATTATCGAATATATTCTCAAACCATTGAGATCGATTATAATACTCTTGAGCTTCATCTATAAGACCTGCAGCATACATGACATTACCAATTGCCCAATCATCATACGCATAACTAAGTGTAAGTGATGCTGAATATTCATCTTGATCAAACGGTACATATTGATATTTAATGTATGTTGGTGGATCAAAACGGCTATCATGTTTTTGTACTTTATTGGCTACGTTTCGTAATGCTTCTAAAACTTGAGCCATATTAAGATGCAGATCATGTTCATGTTTCATAATTAAATCACTCAATATAATACCAGCATGTGAACCAATCATACAATTTGTATGGCCATTAGCAAGTGGCCATTTAGGTAAATAACCACCTTGTTCAACAATGAGCATAATCGAATGAACAATATCATTAGCTCGTTTAGCATCATGTAAAATAAGAAACGGTACTTGTGTTCGAAAAATATCCCATATGGATAAATCAGTATAGATATGATCCATATATTTAGGTTTCGTATGAATTTTATTATCAAAACCTAAATAGACACCGTTTGATTCATCCCATATAGTCGGACTTGACATCGAATGAACAAGTGCTGTATTAAATTTAATTTCAGATTCGAGATTCTATTCAGCAGTGACCTAGTAAAAATTAACATACAATTATGTTTGTCATTGTCGATAGAAAATATGTTTTTGCGTTTTTATATGATCAATGAAACATACCTCGAATCGAGACAATTCATTAAGCCATTTTTGTTGTATAAATTCACGAATAGAATCAAATGATTCTAGGTTTGTTTGCATTTGTAAATTGATACGTGCTTGTTCAATTGATACAAAACTAATACCGACATAAACTGTTACTTGTTGTTGATTAGCAGGTAGTATAACATAAGCACCTTATGAACATCCATCAGTTGTTGTTTGTCTAGGCATTAGACGACCTTGATTCCAAACACCGAAATCTGTCCAATTAGTAAATGTAATGACAAAATATGTTGTCACACCGCCAAAAGCTCTGGATAGAAATCCTTTAAAGAAAATTGAACCACTAATTTCATTGTTGTTTCGATCAATATTCACATGACTTTGTCTGCAACCATCTGGAGGTAACGCATAGCTACTGTCAATCAATATAACATGATGCTTTCTGTTGACATCATCGAATGAATATCGATGAATACCGACTTGTTCAGTAGCAGTTAATTCAACTTTGACTTTATGTGTCTCGAGATATACTTGGTAAAAACCTGGCTCGATTCGTTCACTTTCATGTTTAAATGTACTTCGATAGCCATGTCGTTTTGCTATCATATGTTGTAAATTATCATTATTGTCGACTTGAATAGGAAAGATGCCAACATTACCATAATCTACGATTCCTGCACCAAACACATGCGTATGTGAAAAAATATTTATGTACGTATCCGAATAATGATAACCAGCGTAGCGATTAAGTAATGCTGGACGATCTTCTACATCGCTTGTATCAGGACCAAGACGAACTGTACCATAAAGAGTTTGTGCACCTAGAGGCAAATTTGCTGAACCTAAAAAAGTACCACCTGTTCCTATGTACAAATCGAGCGGTGGAAATTTGTCGGTGCTAACTCTTGTAATGAGAAACAATAGGATGCACCAATGTTCGATCATATTTTATGCTTTGATATTCATTGCCTCGCATTTAAATCTAATCGAATCGTGAGAAAAAAAATCAACTGACATAATTTACTGTGTTTTAAGGCAACTGTTTTTTTTCCTGAATGAAACGACAGGGAGCTAATTACCCATTAGCATCGAAAGATCAATATGGTTTAAAATAAAAGGATAAAACAGAAACAAAAAGAAAAAATAGTTGTGTCTTACGACTTTGTTTATCTTGTTTTTCATGGATAAGATTAATGAAGGCTGATACTTTAAGTTAAATATCATTTGTATGCAACCACATCTTTTAATAAAAGTTTAATTGATCTTCAGAGCTGATTAACCATAAGTATTTGAAATTATTTCGAATAATACCCAACAGAATCGTCACTTATTTTGTTGTACTCAATATTCGGATGTGAGACAAGTGAAGACTTTCAGACATCACATCCACACCTATCTAGGAAACCTTTGCATATATGAAAAAAACCTCTTCAATGGCAGCTTCAGTTGCTATTTTATGTCATATAATCTCTTGTTTAAGTAAATCGTATGAAAATTTTTAAAACACATTTTATTTATTAGAGATAGAGATTGATACAAAATATATTTTTTTCTCAATTAGTAGTTTAAAGAGTTTTTTAATATCCTGCGTTCTGCATTTTCTACAATGGGTCGTATGAAAGTGTTGATACTTAGAATGATCATATAAAGAGTCTGTTCGATTTGTGAAAAAAAAAAAAACGAGAATTACATAGATTTATATAGACTTATCGGATAGCTCTTCAAATTCTGGCCACGATGTGTTCGTATCACTTCCATAATGTTTATTCCACCATTGAGTATCAGCTTCAATATCATGTGCTGCAATTGCATTTTGAAATGCCGTCGACATTTCAATGATATAAGGATCATTTTGAATATTGATAGCATTGTAAAACGCATTGAAAAGTTGTTTGAATTTGTTAAGACGTTCTCTTTCGAATTCATGTGTACGATCTAGTACTCGTTTCATACTATTTTCATAGTGTGGTCTCAAATCTTTCATTTCATTAATTAATTGTTCGTATTTACTTCGAAGATTTGCCGATTCTTTAGTATAGACATTAACACTTGTTTGAGTTTCTGTCTTTTCTTCTTCGGTTGCACCTATATTTGAGTCAATGATTTTCTTTGCCTGTTCAGCTTTCTTTAATTTTCGATGTTTTTCATGATAGGATTCTTTTGCATCATTAATTTTGGACAACAGTTTTAGCCATGGTTTTTGAAGATTTTCAAATTCTTTTTCGAATTCTTTAATTTTTCTTATATGAATAATCGATTTTGCATAATTCTGTTTCTTGAAAGCAATCATTGGATCAATAACATCATTTTGGATACGTTCAACAATATCCGTATGTGTATAAGCAGCTTGTGCACCAGCTCGAATTGCAGCTAACCATGTCTTTTTATTTGTACCGAATTCTTGCGATTCATTTATTTCTTTTTGCCATATTTTGGACCAATTATAAATGGCTGCAATATAATCACGTTCCAAGCTTGCACGTTCTTCGAATGCTTTGATGAATAAATCACATGATTCATAACCATTTTGGCAACGATGAAGTGCTGCTTGATATTGATCCGGATCACAGAAACCTCTATCATGCCAAGGATTAGAAAGAATTTCTTCGGGAGTTGTTTGAGTTTGTAAACGAACACACGTCACTAGAATATAGAACAACAAACATATTATTCCGAGATCGACTTTGTTTGAAAAAAATAAAATGTTGAAACTTACTGCTTATAGATTGTAGACGAACGTCGAAGATGTTTGAATAAATGCAAATTAGCAAAAGAACAAAGAACGTAAACAGATGAAATTATATTGTTGTGAAGAAGTTATTGGCAGCACTCACTTCTGTCTCAGTTCGATGAGGACAAGTTAAATCAAAATGCTTATATATAGAGTACTACTCTTATGTTTTTTTATTGTTTGTCTTTATTACTTGAATAGAAAAGAGTAAAGTAAGAGGAGGAAAGAATATGACAGGCTCTTATTCATAACTAGTTCTTCTCTTTTTCGTTCTTTTTTTTCTATGCCATTGCACCATAATAGTGTAATTCATCTAATAATCGTGAACTGCTGAAGCCTACACATAAGTGGCATAACATAATCGTTGGCGGTAGCACGACAAGCTTAATTCATGAGTTGTTTCTTTTTCTCTTTGTAGCACATGACTATACGAAACTACGTAGTTTTTATTTCGCTTGAGCAAGATTTTATTCCTTCTCTATCTCTTTCGCGTTCTTTGTCATATAAAATATCCATTGTTGATGTTGTGTTTTATGGCGTACGTATGCGGAAGCTGAATCGAGACTATATATTGTAGCCTGCTAGATGTAAGCATTATTTTTCTATTGATTGTACGTTTTCTTCTGTTTCTTCCTTATTTTGTTTTTAAAATGTTTTCAATGTATAAAACCATTGAAGAAAGCAACAAGAAGAAATGGTAGCAGAGAAAAAAAAAAGTATTTAACTTGAATGAATCACAAATTTTATATGCTTTCTTCCGTGCACAACGAGAAGAGTAAATAGATGACTAAGCAATATGTAAAAGTGTATGTTTATACCTCTATATAACTTATTACTCTTAGCAAAAGTATCTGTATAGACGAATTTCTAATATTAAGAAACAAGTTTCTTTTTTTCGTATTTTCACATGCTATTCTTCTTGTTTGTTCACTTTTTGTGATGTGATCAATAGTTTTAGCTCAGGTACTGTCATAAAATAATATTCAAAGGTGAATGTAATGCGTTTCGATGAATGAATATCGTTAGCACTTTCATGAGAAGATAAATCTAACAAATTTTCATTCTATAAGTGGAAATAAACACATTGAAACCTTACAGAAAATTCTTCCATCTAACTGTGACACTTAGATAAAAATATTCAAGCAAAGTCTCATGGCATTGTTATATTCATTGCATATAACAAGGATATCATATTGTTTTATATCATGAAAGAAAAAATCATAGAAAAAACTTTCTCTTTTTTCTTTTATTATTATTGACAGCTACCAACATTGTTCAAATTGATTATAGACCTTTAATGTATTATCCAAAATTCTGACGTCATGAAAATAATTATGTATGATAGCAGTAGACTCTATATGTATATAGAATTTATTATATTAATTGTTAGACAAAGCCTTTCTAAGTATTTATGTTGATATATTTGGAATGAGAACTACTCAACAATGAAATCTCTACTATGAAATATGATTAATGTCATAGCTTTTCTATATCGTACCATCATCTAGTTCATAGTTGTTCAATATGGTGATTTCGAAGCTTTAATGCAGATAATGGTGATGGCAATCATAGCCCAGATACCAATCAATGTGGCAAAAACATTCCACTAGAAAGTTATTCTACTCCATTTTCTGGCCTTTTCTATGTTTTCAGCTATTTTATATTGACGTACATTCTGTGTGAATAAGCAAGCAATTATACCAAGTAATATTCCAAATAAGAGTAAATTCACAATAGACCAAGTAAAATAACTGACAATTCCATCAATTATAAGTTTATTGTCGCTTGTTTGTATGTGCAATTGATTGTTCTGCGAGACTCCATTTTTCTTATTGCTTTCCATCAAGCTGCATGAGAATCGTACAGCCACAAGCACTATAGAGGTTGATAGTCAACTAAGACCCAACTGAAGCAAATAAAGAATGTAATACAAATGAGAGAGACATATGGATAGATATAAAACGTCATAGCGACTAGTCATGCATAGCTTCGAGTGTCAGCTCGTCAGCGCATGCATATATTTTTTTTATGACGTGGTATGTGTCACTTCCTAAATAAAATATGAATATATACTAAGAAAATATGTAATCAGCGTTTACTGATCATTTATAAAAAAATACATTTTTGGTCACAAAAGACCTAACATCACATTACTTTTATCACTTGTTTTAGATTTATCTTTTTGAAAGAAATGACAAATTTCTAAAAGAGAGCACGTTGTTTGGTCAATCGATGCTGAAGCCAAATATTCATCATGCGAAAAGTTTTTCACCAAAAATCGGATTGTAAGCTGTGTTTGAATGATTAAAAATTGATTAACATCGGAGTATTTGTATCTGATTTTAATATTGTAAGTCAATTAAAATTGATTATAATTCAATAATACGATAAGAATTAGATTTTTTGTTAAGAATTTTCATATGGATACACTTAAACTAACTTGTATGAATTATTTTTCTCATATCTATTGTAATTCATATCATGTACCGATTTTAATTTGACTAAATGTTTTGATGCATTTGTCTCTAGATTTGAACTGGAGACTATAGGTCTTTTCTAATTCTCTTAAAATCAAGGATGTCGAAAGCTTAGTGTCAACCAATAACACTATAACTAAAGGACTGTGTTTAAAAGTAATATATACATTCAAAGCAAACTATAATTTATTCGAAACAGTCTTGGTTAATGTAAGTATTTTTCATCTATCTCATTGAAAGAGATTGATCACGGATTCTATCGATCACTTTAGGATGTGAATGTGAGCTGACAAAAGAACCTTACTCGTACCCATACCTATACCCAAAACCCAGACCAACATCCTGAATAGAATTTTTTTCAAAGTATTTTATCTTAATAAATAAATAATTTCAATGCAATTCTAATTATATTAGCAAAGATCTATGATTTATTTTTATACTATGACGAATTTACACGCTTAAGATGGTTGTCATCGAAGTGTATTTTATTAAATGTTATTTTTTTCATGAGTACCGTCACTTTCTCAATCAGCCAAGACGGTACTTAAATCTTGTTTTTGTATCTGCTTTATTTATCACTATAAAAAAAATCGAGCTCATACCGGCAACAACCATATCTCATGTCAGAGCATTAAATTGTGAATATCTATATGATAACTGAAAATGATGTAACGCTTTTAGCCAATTGATCTTGTCTGTTACGATTTCTTCACTTTAGTTGTTGTACAAACAACTAGTTCACTACTCCATGTTATTTTAGGAAACTTTTCCTAAGAAGAAAACACTTTACTACTGTATTTGAAATTATTTTGCGTTAAATAATATAACAATCTCTATTCATATAAGAGAAGAAAAAACATACAAATGACGAGGTCATGTTTGTTTTTCAATGATTCTCTCTAAAAAATAGAAGATAACCGGTGGGTTCTTCTACCAATTTTTACAATACTGAAGCTAGCCTATTTCACTAGTTTTTATTGATTTTAACAGTTTCAAATGATTCAAAAATATGACTGTAAAAGTTTCAATTTAACAAAAACTAATCTGCATCAAAATCCTAGCCCTGAATTTTGAACTAATGGTTTCTTGTAGTGCATCAGAAGGTGAATTCTGTATAAACTAAAGATTTTCCATCTTGAAATTTCTAGTTCATTTTTCAAAATTCCCTTTAACAGACTGTTAGAAACTGTCAATAGAGAGTACTTTCATTGAATGTTTTTGTTAGATGAATATCAGAAAAGAATCTGTCTCGTTTTAGAAGTTTTGCAAACTGCTACCTGATGCACCTGTGACAATATATCAGTGTTGAGGTATCTAAAAGTATGAAGTTTAGTATAAAAGTCGAACTTTGAAACTATAGTAGCCTTATCGAAATCAAAACTAATTCATGAAACAAAAGATCACACTTATGAATCGTTGTACAGAAATTATTTATCTTTCTGAAAGAAGGTCATGCAAAACACAGCATAGATATTGTTCAATATTAGTTATTATGAGTGCGTACATGGGAACTTTTGAAAAGAAGTTTTTCTCCATTCTTCGTATTAGCATGTATGAAACTCGTTAAACTAGAATACAAGTTTTTACTATCAAAAATTGCAACAGTTATATCAATTTCACATTGTACGTCCTCATGGAATTGTATAAATAAACTTTTTCTCAAAAGAGTTAGTAGGTTCAAGAGTATATTCAAATGTTCTAGCCTTTCGCCAATTTTCCGCCAGTTAATTCACCGGGCTAAAAGGTTGAACGGAACGAATATGCCATGTACAATCGAAAAAATATTTCATCGTTTCCAACCGTGGTAGGACATAGGTGTTTAACAAGAAGACATTAACTAGAGCCCTGCCTGAGAAGTCGTACCGTGATTCTGATCCTATCGAAGTCAGATGCAGAGTGACTATCAAGAATATTTTTAGAAGTCAATGTCTGAATTACATCAATGAATTAGTCATGTATATCTACCCTTACATATTGACTAGCTTGTTTTTCATCTGTGAAGTAATGAACAATAAAACACTACTTTATAGACTCATAAATAAGTTTCTAGAGAAACGTTAAAAAGACATTCACATTAACAAGCAGCACAACAAACAGTATACATTGTAGTAAAGAAATTTTCGGAGCTGCAAAAACAAAAAAATTTGGTTCAAAAAAGCTTTAGTCCTCATTGTCTCGTCCACCACAACATGCTACTTGGTTCTAGTAACGCTCAAATGCAAATATTCGAGTTTTTATACTAAAAAAAAAAAACGTTCGATGCTGATCATAGGATGTGATTATATTTCTGCTTTTTGAAGCTTGTTTGTTTAAGACTAATTGTGTGTTACTAGCAATCGAATCATCTTTTTTACATCAATACTTTTGAATTCATTGCTTATGACAAGAATATGATATTGTTTTATAGTATGACAGAAGTTTTTTTTACTTACTATTCAGACTTTTTGTTTGTAGAGATTGAAGCTATTGAAACTTTCTACTATTAACAAAACTGTAAATATGTTTTTCAACTTAGTTCACAGTCAGCAAACTCTCTAGAACACAGTATTTTTACTGCAATCTTCTTGTTCCATCAATGAATTTTTTCTCTTATAATCGGCAGTTACTGACATTGTTAAAATTGATCATGAATCTTCAATGTGTCATTCAAAGTTCTTACTTCATCAAAATAATTATGGGTGATTTAAATAGAATATATATATACTTTATTGAAGATTAAACTTTGACAATAGGATTATGTTAATTGTTAGACGAAACGTTTTTAAGTATCTATGTTAGTTTTCTGTAATAAGAGCTACTCAACAATGAGATTTCTATTATAAAATATGATTGATATGCATAGGTTTTCAATTTCGTACCATTGTCGGGTACACGTTTGTCGAATATGATGATTTCGAGCGTGTAGCAAAGATGATGATGACGATAATAGCTCCGATACCAATCAATGTTGCAAAAATATTCCACCAGAGAGTCACCTTACTCCATTTTTTAGCCTTTTCTATGTTTCCAGCTATTTTATATTGACGTACATTCTGCGAGAAAAGGCAAGCAATTATACCAAATAATAATCCAGAAAGTAGTATATTCACAATAGACCAAATAAAATAAGTGCGAATTCCATCGATCGTTAGTTGAGTAGCCCTTGTTTGTGTTGGCTGTTGATACATCTGCGACTGATGCATCTGTGATTGATGCATCTGTGATTGATGCATCTGCGATGGATTCATCTGTGGTTGATACACCGGTGATGAATACATCTGCGATGTATACATTGTCGGTTCACGCATTTGCATTTCATACATCTGCGAGTCCATTCGTGATTGATCCATCGACGATGTCTTGTTTCTCTTATTGTTTTCTATCGAGCTGGAATACGATCGTAAATCACCAAGGATCACACAAATCGATAGCTAACGAAGTCACAGGTAAAACAAAAGAAGAATGTAATGCAAAAGGAAAGCGATGTATGAATATATATATGCATGACGTTATAGCGATATGTCATGCATATCGTTCTTGCGTAAGCTCGTTAGGACGTGTTGGTTGTTTCTTTATGCATGATATTTGTTACTTCCTAAATAAAATATCATGTTGCAGTCATTTAGTCTATTATTCT